TAAGTATTGACAAATCGAATAATGAATTTCCCGTAACAGGATAGCAACTGTTCGGAAAAGGAAACAATATACTTTAGGAGTATTCTGATAAGTAATTTAGATAATGCTCCCAGAGCAATGACAGTAGTTTTTATTACTCAGTATGTTCTGAGCATTTCAGAGAACAGAGGGAAAGAGAAAACAGTTTTGTGTCACACTCATTATATGCTAATCATAGTTTAAAACATGTGGTTAAGCATATATCCACATTGTTTATTCATACTGATAAGGTAGTTGTGATTTAATCACAGACTGTTAAATACAATAATCAGCTTTTGATCTTGTAATTGTTAAAACGTTTGCCGATTCTTTGGATTAGGTTTATAATATTAACCTCGTATCTCATATGTTCAGCAGACGAGGTAAGATCAAACCATGTTTCGAGTAGCAGATGGTTAGGAATATGTTCAATTGTGTATAAACATATTCGGTTCTCTATATTAACGCGCTTACTCTTATACATTCAAATAAATTAGTATGTACATTTCAAAATGAAGAGAGTTATTTATTTACCGTCTACTTTGTTGCACAGAAAATCGGTTATCACAGAATGAACTTCACTGTATGAAATATACTACTTTTAGCTTTTGTTTAGTCTTCCATGCAACTCAAGTGCTCATAAAGCATCAGTTGGAGGAATACACACTTCTTTACAAGCTTATTTACTCCAGTGTTCGTTCCAGTAAATATACTTACTCATGGATATCGTATATTGTGTAATAAAAGCATCTCCAAAATTGTTCAACTACGACCATAAGTACTTATGCCAGTTGCCAATAAACTCTGGCTTGATTAAAATTACAATGCTGTGATTAGTTGTTTGGCAGATAATTCGTTCCTCGACCTTCCAGTATTTCACTGTTTATCAGAATATTTAGGTTATGTGTAGCTAAAGAGAATGCGGCTGAATTCTGCAAACACTGACATTTCTGTCATGTCTATCACTCATCTGTAATCAACAAACTGTGAGAAGACTTGAATTTTTGTTTGATTTATTTTTTAAAAATCCAAACAACATTAAATCTTTACTACAAATGGATTTCGTGTTATTCATCGACGGAATTCAACTAACCAATCTAGAATAGCCTGGAATACATTTCCATGTATTTCTTCTACTCACAGGTGCTTTCTGCTAGTTCCTTTTTGTACATAATACAATTACTTTGAATTACAAGAAAACAATGTGAAACAAGTCTGTGGATAAGAAGATGCGAGGTGAATAACTCTGATGAGATAGATTGCATTATATAACGCATATTGAATGTATACATAGTTAATCGATAGTCTCATGTGTGTAGATCTGACGTAGGTGAACATATGCTACTATCCCACTCCCACTGAACTACTGATCTAAGCGCATAAATTAACCATTGCTACAGTCACACTTGTAGAATAAGTTTGTTTTCTTATTAACAGTAAAAAACAGTGGCTAGATTAAAAGCCAACAGTTTACTTATGGTCGATTTAATTTCCATTTGATCTTTATGTATTTGCACATAAACATGAAATTTTACCATACTGTTATTACTACTAATGTTGTTTTTGTTGTTATTGTTATTGTCATTGTCATTAATTTTCACCGTTTTTTGAATATTACTGTCTATGATTGTTTTCTTGTCATGAGTTTTCTTTTCTAGAGAAAAGTCTAGTCTTTTGATTTTAATCTAAATGCAATAATTGATGTGTGAACCGACAAAAACACATCTTATATTTTAAACAAAAATGATCGAAAGTAAAATGTACAAGTTTTGTTTTTACATTTCTCTTCATTTGAGAAAATAATGTTATCACTAGACAGTCACGTCGAATGAAAAACACGACAATGACATAAGGAAATTCAATAGTTTTTAGACACTTCAGCATTATTAAACGTGTCTTTTTACTTACTGCAAATAATGCGTTAGAGATTATGTGGATCATAACTAGTGATGGGATATAAGATGTGCGTTTTGACCGACTCGGAACTTATCAATTCAGTCTTATTACATCCCAGTGTTGATATTCACATTACCACTCTAACCC